CAGTGCCGCAGAAAACGAAATGAACGAACTACGGAGCAGAATGAACCCGCTCTGTGCCCTTGTCGGGTCCACAACGTACTACGTTATGTGGGTACAATCAATTAAAGAGTGTAGTAGTGACGTAGTGGAAAATCATCTTGAAGAACTAATTCATATATGAGTGTGTGTATTTTCAACTCAAACCACTAATGCTTGGGAGTGTAATACAATTCCAAAACAATTTTAAAGTTTTATAGAAAAAAATATTGAGCATTGAACATTTTATTGTAAACATAATTAAGCATTATTTGGCGAACTGTGGAAAATTAAACATTTTTTTGTAATTTAATTGTTAATAGGCACTAATGTGGACATGAGTTTTAAACGTTGTGTATTTCAAATATCAAGTGAAGAAGTGTCCACACACCAGCCACAACCACTGCAATGGTGCGTGCGTAAATTGTTCCCTGCCATGTTATTCGAAACTAAAAAAATCTACTCATAAAATCCCACCCGAGTTTGTGAGAGCTGCGTTTTATAGAAAACAAAGCTTTATCACTTTAGATTCAATTATTTGCTTTGGTATTGTCGCAATTTTGCATTTACTGTTTGCTTTTCACGCAGCACAGTGGGGGAACTTTTGAAAAATAAATTAGTTAGAGAGTCATATTGTCAGCGTATGATACAAAATAAATCAGTAAGGAATGTTCAAAAGTCGGACAGGGCCTACTATTTGATACCCTTAACCAGTTTGGCTACATACCAGAGAAGCTAATATGTACAAAATCCTGTAGATAGAACAGACATATCATCTTTGGAGGTCCATTGAAATGGAATCGGGCGAAATTAGATTTGTGATCTACATAGCAATTTGAACCAATAAAAAAACTATAGATTTCCATTCTTTAAACATTGAAAAATTGCGTGGATATCGATTAGCCTTGAAATTATGTATGGGAGCTATATATATGGGATGTAATTGAGCACCCGTGACACAGCGACATTTTCGTATGTTGTGCCCAAATTCGTCCCATTTAGATGAAATCGGGTGGTAATATAAACCTGAGCCGTTTTCAACAAATTTCAATCCGATACTCTTTGTAATATTTCATGTAAAGGCTTCTCGGTGTACCATTTGCATGAAATTGGACGAAAATGTATATGGGAGCTAGTTTTAAATCTGAAGCGATTTCAACAAAACAGACATCAAACTGGATTCAATTTAGTATGCTGTGCAAAATTTTGACTCAATCAGACAAATATTGGGAGTTTGGTAAACCATTTACATAAAATCGGACGAAATTATATATGGACGCTTCATCTAAATCTGAACTGATTTCAACATAACTCTACATACGTCTATCCGGACCTAACTCAGTACGCTGCGCAAAATTTTGTCTCGATCAGATAAACCTTGGAAGTATAACTAAATCTGAATTGATTTTCTCCAATTTCAATAGGATTCCTTGGGTCATCCTTGGGTCAAAAAAGTGACTTGTGCCAAATTTTATCCAAATCGGATTATAAGCGTGACCTGTACGTGGACAGACAGACATGCATATATCAACTCAGAAATTGATTCTGTGCACATTCTCAAAAAAACTCATGCGTCTATTTCGTTTCATTTGTACAAACATACGCATAAAGACATAATACACTGTACCACAGAGTGGTGAAGGGTACTAAAATGTTGGCTCTTTAGTCATATCTTTGATTTTAATCCAGATTAGATAGCTCATTTCGGATACCTTATTAGCTTCACATAATATTCCCATTTTTTTGTGGGGTAGATTATTTTGATGGAGGTGCATAAATGAAAAGAAATCATTTGGTGCTATACGGTGGAGGGGCATTAATTTTGCTACCATTTACTTCGAAGTGCTTTATCCACGAAGAACTTTCCTGATATATCGGTCCACTTTATATGTTAGCCCGAGTTTCGGAACCTCCCAATATTCGATATATATAATATGAAACTTTTCAATACAATCAGATGCAATTTGGTATTTTGGGGTCTCATTTGGGTAGAATATATTCCTACTTAAAATGAGCAATATTGGCCCACTTCTTGGGATAGTCCCCACATATCTCTACATCCCAAATATCAGTATTTTGTGGAGTTTCGACACTTGTTTCAAACAAATTGGCTTTATATTTTGGATTCTCATTGAGTAGAAAATCCCACTGTAAAAGATATACCCAAGTTTCCGTGTATAATATAATACAAACATTATTCGGTATTTTAAGTTCAGGTCTTCTATAAGAAGAGTTCCAGTTCTTCTAAAAAAAAAGAAGAGCTCCAGGACTTCGATAAGAAGATTTCCAGCCCTTCTATAAGGAAACCTCCAGGACTTCGCTAAGAGGCCTCCAGATTTTCTATAAGAAGACCTCAAATCTTCGATAAGACGACCTCAAGGTCTAGGTCTCTCATATGATGAGTTCCATAAGAAGACCTCCAGTTCTGCTATAAGAAAACCTTCTTCTCTGCTATAAGAATACCTCCAGGTCTTTGATAGGAAGACCTTCAGGTCTCCGATAAGAAGAGCTGTAGGTCTTCTAGAACTCCAGGTCTTCGATAACAATACCACAAGGTCCTCCTTAGGAAGAGCTCCAGCTAATATATTAGAATACCTCCAGCTCAGCTATAAGAAGACCGTTTCCGGGTCTTCGAAAAGAAGGCCTGCAGGTCTTCTATCAGAAGAGTCTTAGCTCTGCTATAAGAAGAACTCCAGGTATTCGAGAAGAATAACTCCAGCTCTACTATAAGAGGACTTCCAGGTCTTCGATAATGGAGGCCTTCTATAAGAAGACCTCCATTATTGGTTATTTTGAGGGTTTGGACACTTTTTGCAACCGAATTGGCTTTAATTTTTCAGGTTCTTATGGGGTGTCAAATCTTCCTACCAAAAATTATTAATAATTATGCAATCCAGGTGGTGGAGGGTCGGATTGGTCCGGGCCGAAATTAGCGAAATTGTACTTGATGGGGTTTTGGATGACTTCGGTCTCATAACGAGAGTCAGCCGCGATTGTATTAATTAAACTATTTTTGACAGCGCTGTAGGATGGTATTTCACCGAGATAAAACAATTTAATTAAATACTCTAATCGTGGAACATACCTAAAATCGGTTAAAGGTCATTTCTGATTGGCATACCACAATTGTTTGTTTAACGTCTTCAGAGAAAATCAAAGAACGAACTCCACGACAATAAGATTTCACACATTATTGGATGGCCGACACGTGGAATTTATGGGTCATCCGTCGAATAGCCCTGACTAGGTACCCAATAACATCTGTTTCCCGAACTTGTTCAAAAGCTATGTTTGGGAGGTATGCCAATCAGACTGTTGATTGATTACAGACAATTCGATGAAAGGAAGTCTTTTAAAAAACAAAAAATGGACGGATGAGTTTATTTTAAAAATTTGCCAGATTTTCACTCTGCACCAAATCCTGGAAAAGACCCACGAAAAACACATCGACACATACCACCTATTTGTCGACTATAAAGCTGCATTCGACAGCCCTATCCGGTTAGGGGTGTTTAAAGCCATGCCTACGTTTGGTATTTCTGCAAAATTAACACGGCTATGCAGGATAACTTGGCACAAGGTCAACAGTTAAAGTAAGAAAGGACCTATCGGAGCCCTTCGTGTGATCTTTTTAACATCCTGCTGGAAAAGGTCATACGCGACGCAAAGGTGATCAGAAATGACACTCTGTACACCAAACAACACATGTTACTTGCCTACGCCGATGACATCGATATAATGGGTCGAACATTGCGAGCGGAACAGCCACCTTTGAACAAATTGAAAAGGAGTCTGCCAATGTGGTTCCGGCAGTAAACGGCGAGAAGACCAAGCTGATGGTATCAACGAGAAAGACGTCCAGTAGACACGGGCCAACTTTGGAACTTGAGAACTACAGCTTCGAGGTAGTTCAAGATTTTATATACCTTGGTACCGCCATAAATAAAACGAATGCTATTAGTTTTAAAATTCGGAGAAGGATTGTGATGGCCAACAGATGCTACTATGGTCTAAGTAAGCAGTTTAGTAACAAGGCCACTTCCCGCCAGACCAAATTCACACTTTACAAGATGCTGATACTACCCGTGCTATTATATGGATTTGAAGCATGGGTACTTGCGCAAGCAGATGCGGCAGTTTTTAGGGCGTTTGAAAGAAAAATTCTCCGAATGATCTACGGGCCGATCTGCGTCGACGGTGAATATCGGCGTCGAAGGAACCACAAGACCGACGCGCTTGGAAATCTTTTTAAGCTCGGCTTATGGAACAGCCGTTCTGTAGCAAGCCAGCTATGTAAGTAAGTAAGAGTTTATTTAAACAAATTGGGACTAATTTGAAATTATTTGAGAATAATTTTTATGCTGATTGTAAAAATGTGTGGATGATATTTGTATATCAATTATCCTGTGCGTAGTTGCAATGTATGAGCACCAGGTTCAAAATGAAGACGTATAAATTTAATGGGCTACCATACGACATCCTCAAATACGCCATCAAAACACTCCACTGTGTCGCTTATTGCTTGCACAAACAAACAAACCCATACGGACAACATAAATTCGTTCAATTATTTACCGCACAAAAGCTGCTGTCTCTCATTCTCTGTATCGTTAGGAAGGCATCTTTGGATCATTGAAACTGAAAGTTACTCAATTTTACAACGGTTGATTGTCCGAGAGTAGAGTAGCTTCAGCTTGAGTCATTTATGTATGTGACATTTGTTGCGTTTATGTTTGTTTTGTGTGTGTGTTTTGTCATTCTTTTCATTTTCAATTTTCTCCAACTGGGTTCTGGCGAAAGAACATTTATTATCACATTGTAATTCAAATAAAGCGGATCGTGGCGGATCGACTCACTCTCTCTGTTAAAAAAAATATAAAAATCAACTAAATACTCAATTGAAGATTTTTTATTGCGGCCGGCAATAGTAGTGCCTCCAATCACACATTGCAAAACGTTGTTGTTTTTATTGGAAATTCACGAAAATGTTTACGAAGTTTATTAATCGGTTTATCGGTATTTCATTGGCACTTACCTCAATCGTTGTCTGTGTGCATGCCAACGAAGATTCGTACGAAACATATGTACCGCCTAGACCCGGAAGTGATACAACGGAAATACGACAACATCATCCACCCTCAATGTTGTGCATGAACATAAAACCTCAACATTCGGTGGATATCAAACAAGTGCGTAACGAATACCTTCACCATGACATGTTCGGTTTATTTATGACGACATCTAACCCCAGAAAGTTCAGCAAAAATTCTTCTTTGATAAAATTTAAAATCAATTTAAAAAAAACTATTAACAACTTAACCTGTCAAATAGTTGAGTGACATCAAAAGTTTTTACAAAGTAGAGAAAAATTGAAAACAATAGACAAAGTGAATAAAAACTAAATGCTTTTCATATATTCGAAAAGTAAGGGAATGCCGTTTTGGGGACAAAAGAAATTGTGAATTGTAAATGATCGTGAGAAAATGTGTGTAAAGGAAAATATATTGATACCATTATTTTCGAGTGCTATTGGAGAGCGCGAATGTAGCATATAAACGACATAAGTAATTGTAAGACTTTCATGACTTTTGGGGCTTGCTATAGAAGACAAGGATAAAGAAAACTGATTGACTATGGACTGATAATTGTCGGCAGTAATGACAATTTTATTCAAATTTGAAAAGAAATTATTGTTGATTGGATTTATATGACGCTAGAAAATGTTATATGCTTTTTAATTTGATACAATTGGCCCAAATTGTTAATATCCTTCAACAACGTTATACAAACCCTAATAAATGTAGAAAATGAGAAAATAATTTTAGTTATTTGAATTTTGCCTTGTAAGGGCAGTGATCATTTCAAAGTAATTTTAAGTGATAATTTATATTCTTTCGAGTCGAGCTTGATGATCTAAGTTTTGCAATGAAAAGGAAAGCCAGGAGAAGAACCTACGTACCCACCATTACACTATAGGTCAAATGACCACTTTTTCTGTGCAAAATTAATATCGGCAACAAAATCATAGTATTCGTCATGAAATTTGGCCCAACTGATTTTTTTTGTTACTTGAATCGTTATTTTTGAATTTGGAAGAAATCGGTTCAGATTTGGATATAGCTCCCATATATATATATTTTCGTCCGATTTTATGTAAATGGTACACCATACTGCCAATATTGGTCCGATTTAGACAAAATTTTGAACAGAGTATTGAATTAGGTCTAGATTGGTATGTGTCAAGTTTTGTTGAGATCGGTTCAGACGAAACTATATATGGGAGCTATATCTACTCCCATATATAGTTTCGTCCAATTTTATGTAACCAGAGCACCATACTGCCAATATTGGTCCGATTGAGACAAAATTTTACACAGAGTATTGAATTATGTCCAGGCTGATGTATGCGAAGTTTTGTTGGAATCGGTTCTGATTTAGATATAGCTCCCATATATAGTTTCGTCCGATTTTAGGTAAATAGTGCACTAAACTGAATATGTTTGCCCGATTGGGACAAAATGTAGCACAGCGTACGGAATTTAATCGAGTTTGACATCTGTGAAGTTTTGTTGAAATCGGTCCAAATTTATATATAGCACACATATATAGTTTCGTCCGATTTTATGTAAATGGTGCACCAAACTCCCAATAATGGTCCGATTTAAACGAAATTTTGCACAGCGTATTGAATTCAGTCCAGTTTGGCATCTATGAAGTTTTCCTGGAAATCGGTCCATATTGAGATTTTTGGTAAATGGCGCACCAAACTTTCAATATTTATGCGATTGGCATGCAATTTTCTTATAGATTTCAGAATGTCATGTGTATGGTTTTTATTGGCTCAAATATCAATGTAGATCACATTTGTTTTTTACCCGATTCCATGTTAATGGTCATCCAAAGGTGGTATGCCTCTTCTATCAACAGGATATTGTACACATTATCATTTTTGTTTGTACCCAAAGTGGTAAAGGGTATCATATAGTCGGTCCAGTCTGACTTTTGATCTTTCCTTACTGGTTGTCTTTGAAAACATTCATCTTTCTGTGACAATTTTCCAAATTTTGCGCTAATGTTAAGCAAAATTAATGTACTATTTGCTTTAAAAATTTCTCCACCAGCACCAGGTTTTTTCTTTTTGTTACCTTCTTTTCGCCATATTTCAAAAAGTTCTATTTTTTTATACGGAGGTTGCCTAGATAAAAGAGGCATTACTCGTAAAACGCAAAAAAGTCCTCGGAGCAACACAAATGTTGCCAGACCACTTAACGTTCTGAGCCATCAACACACTTCCAAAACGGTTGCGCAAAAACATGTGTATACCATGGAAGATATTGTAGGTGTGTGGATTAATTATCCATCGCTACAACAAAAACCTGCTTTGAAAAGGACTGTTCCTAGAATGAAGACAAATGTCGAACTTTGACAAATTTGAATTTAATTCGCATATGCAAGTTTCGCATCAGGGCGGAATAAAGTTATCACCGTACGACCTTTGTAAAGCCACATAGCCCAATATGCCTGATGAGCCGCTTAACCAACGACGTAACGCGTCGCATAATGGTGGGTACGTAGGTTCTTCTCCTGGCTTTCCTTTTCATTGCAAAACTTAGATCATCAAGCTCGACTCAAAAGAGTATAAATTAGCACTGAAAATAATTTTTGATTATTGGAAAAGAAAGATAATTTCCTGCTAATACAAAATTGTAACCAAGGCTCATAACATCCCCACGCCACAGATCTTGAATAGAATAAATAAATTAAGTTTTTTAATATCTTGGGATAATTCAAAATTGTGTGAATACATTTTTATGTATATAATTTGTTTTCAATTTTGTAAAAATAAGGTTTTTAAGAAGAAAAAAAAAACAACAACATACTCAAAATTCCATAATTCGTTCGGGATGTTTTAAATTGCCTGATAGTAGGTTGCATATGCTCTCAGAAAAATAAATACCGAATTACTGACTCTCAGGTTTGAAAAATTGGGCTTGGAACTACCGACAATTAATCGGAAATAGAGTATGTACTATTTTGAAACATGGATCTACATTGAAAATTGTCTGAGATTTTTACAGCATCCAATAATGCGGAATGCCAAATTATCTGTTATTGCGGTTGGAAAATGTGGCTAAAACCTCCATATTAGCGATATTGCGCGGAACCTACATATGGAGGCTATGTCAACACATGTACCTGGAGCGAAAATATTTTGCAAATATGTTTTTACACTCAACGGAAACCTAATTGAAAACGTGGCTAAAAATCAACAACTTAAAACGTCTCAAAGGCCCGACCGAACTTAATATCCACACACACAAGGTGGATATTAATGGTGGTAGGAAAATTTTACATCCAAATTAGAGCGGATTCGGGGCTATGCGAAAAGTTAGACCAATATTGAGAATTTCATAAAACTATCATAACTTCATAAATCTAAATTACAAAATCGTAAATAAAATCTTAGAAAGATATTGCTATATACGGCCTATCCGGAAAAAGAGGTCCAATATTGATAATGTGGGATAGGATAGGAAACTGTTGTCCACTGTCAATACAATTGCTTAGTTAAAAAAACTGTCAAAACTAATCAAAATAACGAATATTTAATGCGAAGCGTTGTATGGGGGATATCATAGAATATGACAGGAAGATTGGCTACCCACTTCGTTTGTAAAACATGTCAAAAATTCCCAAAATACCGAAATTTGGGAGGTCCTGTTATATCGCAATGGGAATTCCAATTACCAAAATAGGTCAATTCCGTTAAAGAATGGTGCGGAAAATTCTTAAAATATCGAAAATTTGTGAGAGCCGTTATATGTGGACTGTACCAAAACGTGGATCGATATATTCCATTTAAATACTACGAGCTGTATTGTGATTTCAACAGACAGACATGCAAAAATCGACGTAGAATTTTATTCTGATCAGGAAAATTAAAAAAAATTTATTTATGGCACATAGGTTCACGTTCACAAATTCGGATGCTGCGCGCCAAAGTTATAATTAATTCCTATTTGCTGTAATTCTCGAATTTTTTCACAAATAGTTAAAAGCATTTGTTTTTTTTTTGCATACGTGTCAAATCACCTTGAAACACTGTTTAATATTCGCGGAAAACAAATAAAAGCATGAAGATATCTGAAAAGATAATAAATTAAATTTCAAATTGCCACATAATGTTTTTTTATTTATTTTTTTTTAATATATTTAAGGGAATACGGTTTTTCCTAAATCTTCTAAAACATGTGACGGTTTTAGACCCCATGTTTCTTTGGACCAAATCCGTTTCAGAAAATTCTGAGTCGATTTACACATGTCCGTCCGTCTGTCTTTCTGGCTGGCTGGTGCGCACGATAACTCTCGATGGGAATAAACGATTTCATCCAAACTTTGCACATCGTAATATTTCTTCCAAACATCGTTTAAGTTCGAAGATGGGGACTATCGGTCCACTCCTTCTCGCACTTCCCCACAAAATGGTCAAAATTGTGCTAAAAATTAATTTTATAATAACATGCATACGGATTATCCGATTTAAACGAAACTTTGTACAACCTATTACCTTTATCTAGTAGGAATATGGGACCCATTGCTCCACTGCTTCTGGTACCTCCCCCACAGAGGGTCAACATTTTCAACATATACAAATCTAATATTAGTCTAATGGAATGTCCGATTTGAACCAATCTTTGAACAACCTATTAGATATTAGATCAAGTTGGAAGATGGGACCATTGGTCCACTCCTTCTGGTCCTCCCACAAAAATGGTCTAAACCTCCTCCGCAAACCATAGGGTAAGGGTATATTTCTGTCGGTAACACCGACTGACACTTTTTTACTTGTTCATTCTAACATTCAGGCCACACAAAAGGCCTTCAAAACGATGTGGTAGTGACCTCATTTTATTTAAGGGAACCCCACCCATTCTCGATTTTAATTTTTCAAGATTTTCAAGTATTAAGTATTTTCCCTTTTATAACGACATTTGTATGAAATCTCCAGTTATCTAAATGTAGTCACGGCGGACAAATACCTGTACTAAAATAATTAGCAACTATGACTGCTTATAAGACCATCTTGATAAGACCACTTCCTTTTTCTCGTTCTATTTTCGGCAACCTCTTGAGGAATCATCACCTGTAATTTACCTCCAAGAGCCACATCCATAAGAAGAAATATACCAATTCTTAATACTTTAATTTCATTGGGTTGGATACCGGTCGTTCATCGTTCACTTATCGGTTTGGCAAGTCATAGAATCAGAACATCAAACAGCGTTTGAGGCTACTCTGCCCTCAGTTATTCTGTATGTCATAACCTGAGGCACGTAAGTTACCCTACGCTCTAAAACATAATTTATTCAGCTGTTCAACGTGCACACTAAGAAAATTATTATTTTTTTTTGGAAAATCGTCTATATTCGACCAAAATCGTCTATACAATAGCTATGTAGGTCCTGTATAAAGTGTTAAAATTTGGAACCGATTGGATTAATAGTTTTTATGTTATTTTTAACGTATATGTATAACGGAACCACCTAATATATTTTGGGTAATCATGGGGTTTCAACTGTAATTTTCCTTTTTGCGAATGTGCCTATAATGCTGTGTATTAAGTTTGTCTGAAATTGGTTCAGATTTTGACATATCTCCCATTTATTGTTTCGTCCGATTTTCATAAATATGAAGCAAACTCATTTTTTTCTGCGATTGATTGAAATTTTTCTCAGCGCATCACATTGTTGAGATCCGATTAGATTTAGATATAGTTCCCATATATATATATATATATATATATATATTTGCGTCGAATTTTAGGTAAATAACGAATCAAACTTCCTAGGTTAATCTGACCGAAATGAAATTGGGCACAGCATACCGAAGTGAGTATAAACTAACGTGTGTCAAGTTCAAGCTTCCATAGATAATTTCGACCGATTTCATGCAAATTGTGCACCAAATATCCACCGAGTGCGCTCTGCTGCAGCATACCGAACAGAGTCTGTAAAGTTAGCTTTACATTTGCCCAGATTCACATAATTTTGTCCGAGTCTTATAAATGGTACACCGAATGGTATGTGTATGGATTACTTGAAATCGGGTCTCATATTTAATTTTTGTCCAATTTCATGTCAGTGGCCCTTCACACGTCTGTGACAATCAATAATCTTAGAAGCAAAGTGGTTAGGGTTAAAATAAAGTCGGCCAACGTTTCTGCTTTGCTGCTTTAACTCGACTCTTAGCATTAAATACACTCCAAAGTCTGAAAGCTAAAATCCTGAATGGTTTTGATTTATTAGCTTCAGTTTTGTTTGGATCCGGCCTTATTTTTTGACTTTGAATTTGTGAGTCTATAACCATGTGAAAAAGTCCTCCCTTTTTCCTTTGACTATCTTCCTTAGTTAAAAAAAAAACAATATGTGGAGTAGTTTTCGTGATAAGCGTACGTCTTTTTGGAAAATTCGTCTCAAATCGACAAAATTAAAAGCGAGTTTAAACAAAAACCTTAGCTAATAATTCAAAACCCATCTAGAGTTTTTCTTCTACCATTATAAGCTTTCAGATTTTGGAGGTTCCGATAGGTTCACAATTTTCAAGTTGAAAATGTGTAACGGTGTTATAAATTAACCTGCAATAGCCATAAACAAAACATTATATCCCAAAATCTTGGCCTACGACGCTTTTACTTTTGCAACATTTATTGTAGTATTTGAATTTTTTATCCGATCCTTCGATGGCACCTTTAACCCATTTACCATATTCTAAGAATAATAGTTCAATAAACAACCATATGTTTTCATAAACCATGGAAAGTTTTTGCCCAATGCAGTTAATAACAATTGAACTCTAAACCCGTTAACTATTGAAATTGTCAATTCAATTTGATTTTTTTCACATTTTTAACCCAAATTGTTCGTGGCGCAGAAAAAAATGCGAAACAAAACATAGAATTCATTGATGGCGTTGACTTCTATTGACCCGATTGCTAACAGGCCCAAACTAACTGTTGTAGACAATCACCAGTCATCCAAATATTTACCCTGGGGGGCTAAACGATCTGCAGGGTTTCCTCATTCCTTTTGAAAGCAAAACAAAATTCCACAGCAGTTTTGCTTTGGTTTGTTTGATTGTTGGGGGGTCTTTCATTCATAACGAGAACAAATTAAATAATTAAATAACTCAATTATTACAACGACTGTGCTATCATTGTTGTTGTTATTGTTGCTGCCACCGCTTGCCTTTCATTTGTTGTCTTTGTTGTCGATGACGACGATGATGATGGCGTTGTTGATGTGATAATGTTTTAACTACATAATTTATATCATCGTTTACTTCAATACTGGACAACTGATGAACCATACGACCGACCGACCGGCCACCACCCACCCACACAACCTCAACCATTGACATAACATTTTGCAGGTCAAATAACTAACTAACTGACTTTTTGTTTGTTTCTTTCTGTTTTTCATCTTCCTGCAAATGCTGTGGTTTTCATTTTGCCTTCTTTGTTGTGGTGCAGATAACCGGAGAATGGCATGGCAACGAAATCATAATGCATACCCAAGATGTACCCGGGGTGTATCGCTACGACAGCTGTGTGACATTTTATTTGAACGATGTCACAGAACAAGTAAGTATTGCCAATATAATGGAGAACAATTACACAGCCGCAAAACACCTTACTACTCCCTCCATCACCACTACTACCACCACCACCACCACCACAAAACAATTATCCTGACGTGTGGTATAGATTGTGACATAATAGAATATCCTCAAATCATTTTCATTACTTTGTCATTGCCATTCACATTTCTCTCATCCCCCTCTACCCACATCTTCCTACCATAGATGCGTGAATATTACCAACCCAGCTACCGAAGAAGTGAAAGCTTTCATTCATCACCATCAATGGAGGGACATCGTGATGCATCACCCTCAATGGGCCACCGTCATTCCAATACCAGATATTTGCGTTTGATCTGGAGTGAGAAGGACGACAATATTGAATATAATTTCAATTACACAATGAACCATCCCGGTCTGTGGACAAACATTGGTGAGCAGCGTGGCTCAATGGTTGCCCTCAATAAATACAATCAATTTACTGGCACCGTACAAGTGGTGAAGGCCGTTAGTGATCATTTGGTATTGACGTTTTGTTCCAGTGATTTACATCACAGCATTTATACGGTGGTGCTAAGTCGTGAGCCACAAGGATTGGGTCAGGATGTAAGTATGCATATTTTTTTGGGGTAATTTATTATTTAAGCATAAAAATCAATGCAATAATCGGCCAGTGAACAAGGACAACCCGGAAAAAAGAAGTTAAATGTTGTTGTTGGAATAGCTGCAATTTTTTTTTTTGGAAAAATTGATGGACCTATTTTGAAATTTTTGTGGAAAAGGGGTCGTTAATCTATACTAATAAAAGAGTAAGGTGATTGACTGACTGATTTAACGATTCATCAACGCCCAGACGAAACGGCTGAAGCTAGAATCTTGAAATTTTGGGTGAGGGTCACTCTTGGTTCAAATTTGAAATGAGGGTCACTGATGGAGTGTAGAATAGATATAGCAAAGGGTTATTGGGATATTAGAACTGTATGTATAATGAAAGTACTAAAATGTACTAAATTTGGTACAATTTCGTAGCATGTGAATGGATAGAGCTACAAACTTGAAATTTGTAATGTGAATTAGGGTTGAGATGTAGGGTCTAATTAAGGAGATGATTTCGACAGCGTGTACTCATGTGTACGAAAAGTACTATATGGTACTATATTTGGTACAAATTTCATTTGGAGATGCAAATCGAGCTGGAATCCTGAAATTTAATATTAAAATTACCGTCGGAGGATGGGGATATATCCGTAGTTTTGGAAATTTGTTATTTATGTGTACGAAAAGTACTAAATCGTACTATAATTGGTACAATATGAATTTGGGTGAACCGATAGAGCGGGAACAATAAAATTTGGAGTCAGGATTACTGTAGGGGTGAAGGATTGGGGTCAGGATTCAGTTTAAGAAATTAATACTTATGGGTACTAAATGGTACTAAATTTGGTACAATTTGAATTTTAGGTGAACCAATAGAGCTAGAATCATAGAATTTGGAGTCAGGATCACTGTTGAGGTGTAAAATTGAGATATGTAGGAAGTTTTAGAAATTTGTACTAATGTGTACTAATGTTGGTACAATTTAAATTGTGGATCAATGTGGAAGTGTAGGATTGGTGTATGTAGGAAGTTTTGTAGGGTTGGGGTATGTAGAAAGTTGTGTACTAAATTTGGTACAATTTGAATTCTGGGTGAACCGATAGAGTTGGAATCCTGAAACTTGGATTTAGGATCACTGTGGGGGTGTAGGATTGGCGTATGTAGAAAGTTTTGGAAATGTGTACTACTGTGTACTAAATTTGGTACAATTTGAATTATGGGAGAACCGATAGAGTTGGAATCTTCAAACTTGGATTTAGGTTCACTGTGGGGTGAAGGTTTGGGTTAAGTAGGAATACTAAATTTAGTACAATTTGAATTGTGGTTGAACCGAAAGAGTTGGAATCCTGAAATTTGAAATTATTGTGGGAGTGTAGGATCGGCGTAAGCAGGAAGTTTTGTTGGATGATGGAGGAGCGCACTTATGGAAATAATGTGTGCTAAATGGAACTAATTTTGGTAAAATTTGAAATTGGGTGAACCTTTAGAGCTCGATTAATGAAATTTGGTACTAAAATTAAATTTATGGTCGATATTAATGCCTGGATTGTTTAGTTTTTCTGACATATGCAGTTTCCTGTGAAAATAATATAATATGTTAATACATGCTTAAATATTTCCCACATTCGCTAACGAAGAAGCGGGCAGTCTATACTAATAAAAGAGTAAAGTGATTGTCAGACTGACTTATCAACATCAACACCCAGACAAAACAGCTGAAGCTAGAATCTTAAAAATTGGGCTTAGAGTCATTCTTAGTCCAAAATTGTCAGATAAGGTTGGATTTTTGGAAGTTCGTGCTAGAACGGCACAAAAAGTACAAATTATGGTACCAAACGTATTTAGCGAACCGCTAGAGCTAGAACTCTGAAATTTGAATTGAGGGTCATTGATGGGGAGTCAAACGGTTTTTTAAAGTACGACCTATAAGTATTCGAATACTACTAAGATTTACTAAATTAGGTACAATTTCGTAGCATGTGAACGGATAGCGCTAAAGACTTGAAATTTGGAATACGAATGGTTGGCAAGTAGGGTCAATATAAGGAGTTAAAATTTGAATTTTGAGGGAATGGAAGGAGCTGGGATCCTGAAATTTGAAATTAATATTACCATCGGAGTGTAGGATTGGTATGTACGTTTTGATATTTGTACTTTTGTATATAAAAATGTACTAAATGTTACTAAATTCAATACAATTTTGAATTTTGGGGAACCGATAGAGCTGGAACACTGAAATTTGAAAATAAGATTATGTAGTTTAGGAAATTCGTATTTTGTTTTTTCTAAATGGTACTATAATTGGTACAATATGAATTTGGGTGAACCGATAGAGCGGGAACAAAAAAATTTTGAGTCAGGATTGGGGTCAGGATTCATTTTAAGAAATTAATACTTATGGGTACTAAATGGTACTAAATTTGGTACAATTTGAATTTTAGGTGCTATTGCAATTTTGAGTCAGGATCACTTTTGAGGTGTAAAATTGAGATATGTAGGAAGTTTTAGAAATTTGTACTAATGTGTACTATGGTACAATTTAAATTGTATTGGAAGTGTAGGATTGGTGTATGTAGGAAGTTGGAGACTGGTAGAAATTCTGTGTACTAAATTTGTGTTAAATGGTATGTGGGGGTGTAGGGTTGGGGTGTGTAGAAAGTTGTGTAATAAATTTGGTACAATTTGAATTGTGGGTGAACCGATAGAGTTGGAATCCTGAAACTTGGATTTAGGATCACTGTGGGGGTGTAGGGTTGGCGTATGTAGAAAGTTTTGGAAATGTGTACTACTGTGTACTAAATTTGGTACAATTTGAATTATGGGAGAACCGATAGAGTTGGAATCTTCAAATTTGGATTTAGGTTCACTGTGGGGTGAAGGTTTGGGTTAAGTAGGAAGTTTTGGAAATTCGTATTACTCTATACTAAATTTAGTACAATTTGAATTGTGGGTGAACCGACAGAGTTGGAATCCTGAAATTTGAAATTATTGTGGGCGTATGCAATAAGTTTTGTTGGATGGTGGAGAAGCGCACTTATGGAAATAATGTGTGCTAAATGGAACTAAATTTGGTAAAATTTGAATTTGGGTGAACCTTTAGAGCTCGATTCATGAAATTTGGTACTAAAATTAAATTTATGGTCGATATTAATAATCTGGATTGTTTAGTTTTTCTGACATATGCAGTTTCCAGTGAAAATAATATAATGCTTAAATATTTCCCACATTCGCTAACGAAGAAGCGGGCATATGCTAGTCTATACTAATAAAAGAGTAAAGTGATTTTGGAATCCTCAAGTTGGGAAATATGATTTATATTGGATTGTTGAGGTGGGTACTTATGAAAATTTAGCAGAGTTTGAATCAAAAGGGGCATTTCATTTCCTTGATATGGGATTAGCAAATTTTCAAAATTTTAATATTTGGTAAGAGAGGTACCAGTAGAAATGGATCCCATTTTCGGATTGGATCTAGGCTTCTTAAATTTATTATAATGTACAACGTTTGAATGAAATTTGGATATTCCATTTACTTCATATGCGATTTACAAATTTTCAAATTGTTTTCCCTTTTGGATACGTTTAAAACCTCCCCTTCTGTTACCCCGAAGGTTTACACCCTCCTCGGTAGGTCCAGGTTACACTTTCCAGTAGTCGAGGTTTTTTGCATTATTAGTAGTAATCCATGGTATCCATGACTCTGTGCGGATCAGGATCTGGAGTGCTTCTAGCGTTGACAGAATGGACTGATGAGTTCTAACTTAATCCGGGGCTGACCTGCAATGACATTTCTTTTTTGCCAGGGAAGGGGAAAGCATCTACCATTATCATCATAAGTCGTATAGTCCATGACCTCTTCTTTTCTTACTCCGAGGGTTTTGACTCTCCTTGGTAGGTCCAGGTAATGTTTTCCAGTAATCGGGGTTTTTGCATTGTTAGTTTTAATCCATGATAGCTTAACAAGGACTTTGTGCGAATCAGAATGATGACTTTGACGACATCCCCAGGATTTCATGATATGTAGCACCTGATATAACTTGCATACTCGACATGATTCTATTTGTTTTGAACATTAATAGTCTGAGGTAGTATTTAATAGTACTCGATAGTTACTTCCGTATATGTTGGATATTTTATCTTGAGCCTCAATGACATCAATCTATCGTAGGATATCGAACTTGATCTTGATGTCCAATGTAGTTATTATTAAACGATCTCGAGTAATGGCTTTTACAAAGAGTGGACACCACTGTGTCTATCACTTCCATAAGAGCATCAATTTTAGACTTACTCGGGAGAAACTAGTATTCCCCATGCTGTTCAAAAAGTTTTCAGCTGTATACTATTACAACTTCGTGCAATATTACAAATTAAATGTGTTTCGGGTGTGAGCTAGCCCTCTCAGTGGCCTCATTGCAAAATTCCGCCCTCCTTCACATCCATAAAAAAATAATTTACTCATAAATAAATTTTCGAATGATAAATTTTTCAAAACCATAAATTTTAGGCAAAACACAACATACTGGTAATATTAGTAATATTAGGTCGGGCTCCTTCACATTCATAAAAAATAATTTACTCTTAAATAAATTTTCGAATGATAAATATTTCAAAACCCTAAATTTTAGGTAAAACACAACATACTGCTAATATTAGGTTGGGGAAAAAGAAATCTATTATTTTTTTACAATATAGGTAGGTTACATTCGACGACTAACCTGTATTTCGGGTCAGAGTATTAATCATTCGACGACTGTGAATATCGGTGCTAGCCTTTATATTTCTTAATTTATAGTTTTTGTAAAATTCAATCCTCCTTTTTAGTAAGTTAACTTCAGAATAAAATATTTTTCAAAATCCTAAATTTGGTGTAGAACACAACATACTGGTAGTAGCTATTTTAATAAATATATCATACCATAAAAATATCATATTTTAAATAGTTTCATAATTATCAAACAATTTCAAATGTTCTCATGGCAATAGTTGAACTGTCTGTCTCTGTCTGTCTCCAGCATGTCTACCACTGTTAGATTTTAATTAAATTAATTATAAAATACTTTATTATGGTTTCTCTTCTTCATTATAATTTGTTGTTTTTCGTTTTTCTATCGTTGCAGGTCATTCGAAGCATTCGTAATTTGCTATCTAGACGTGGCCTTTACACCGAATCCATTCGACAAGTTTGTGTGAAGTCTTCAGCAGCAGCTCTAAATAAGTCATCGTCAACAACATCTTTGCTGGTCATGTCCGTCTTTTTATTAGTTTTAATTTGCATCTCAAGAAAATTGCAGTGAAACCGGAAATGAGAATCAAGTAGAAGAAGAAGAAGAGTTGTTAGAAAAGAAATTTGCCACATTCAGTGTCCAGCCGAGTCCATCTCCTCCCCCTTCTCACAACTATAATGATTCATTATAACGAGATAATGTCCAGATGTCCAAACGTGCCAAATTGAAAAGAAGATGAACGAAAAAAAAATCTACTAAAAGAAAGAATCCCGAACACACACACACATCCATACACAAAATAACAAATAAATATAATTACTTCTGCCATCCGCCATCTATGGTTGAAGACACATTTTCTCCTTAATTAGTTTCATTTATTTTGTTGACGAAATAATTAGGAAGGTTATTATTATTAGTATTAAACAAGGAAAAAAGTTAATTGTTTGTCTGTAATACGTTTAAGTCTTGCGTAAGCGTATAGCTTACGTCGTAGTGATCCATGTCACAAACGTGTGGGAGGTAATAATTCAATCAAAGAGTTTAATTTCCTGGTACTTTTAGTGAGGTTTGCGAATGGTGTGGGGGGTAATGAGTAATGAGGTGAGTAATTGGAGGTTTGTGGCAAATGTTTGTATGCCAACTGTTGGCTATGGTGAGGTATGTATAGTATGATAATCTATGCGTTATGTTCGGCTGGGTCGAAGGTTTTATATCCTCCATTTCAATGAAGGGTGAACACAGTTAGAAAATGTATCCAAATACCGAAAATTGGGAGTATTATCTGAAAATTCGGTTACGGTTTAGCATAATGAAATTATATTTATGGTAAATATTTCAGGCGAATTCGACAGCTCTTATAATTGTAGATATAAGATTTTCTGAGCTAGGATCGGGTAAAAGTGAAACAGGTCGATGAAGGTATACAAAATGAGATTATTTTGTTTTGGGGCCCTTTTGTAGAATATTTGAAGGTACAAAATTTTGGACTTGTTCCAAAAATAAGTATGAAAAAAAGCACAAGGACTTGAGATAGAAAAAGGACATGTTAAAAAAAATACTCTTCATTCGATTTAGCTGAAGCATGTCATTTCAAAAACCAGTAATGGGAGTAGTAAAGTCGGACGGGGCCGAAAATATGATACGATTCACCACTTTGGGTACATTTTACATACGTATCCTAAGAAACGTCGCTTTTTCGAAGGTCCATTGACATGAAATTGGATGAACTAAAATATGTGATCTATATCTAAATGTGACGCGACTTAGATCAATCCATAAAGATGTCATCTTTTTGATAGGTAAAGAATGAGACAAAATTATGTAAATCGATTTCAAGCAAATCTCAATCGGACACTCGTTGATTATTTGAAACCAAATATACATGAAGTCAGTCGAATATATGGGATATGTCTGCATTTTTACAAAACAATTACGTCATTCTATACACAAATTGGTACGTTGTGCAAAATTTCGCGTCAATCTGACAAAAATGATTAAAATCGGACGAAAAAATTAACTGAAGCTATATCTAGACCGATTTCAACGAAACTTGTCACAGGTTAAATTATACTAATTACAGTACGTTTTATGCTTATCGGCCATATTTTGGGTCCTTGATGCATCATTTACTTCAAATATGAAAATATAAATGGTAGCTATATCTAAATCTGAACCGATTTTCACGAAACTTTTCACATATCATTCTAGCCCTAATTCAGTACGCTGTGCCAAATTTCGTGCAAATCGAAGGATATATAGGGACTTTGGTGCACGATTTACCTTAAATCGGGCGAAAATATATATGGGAGCTGTATCTAAATCTGAACCGATTTTTCCCAATTTCAATATGGTTCGTTCTTGGGCCAAATTCATCCAAATCGAATAATAAATGTGACTTGTACTTTGCTTACAATTTAACATGGACAGACAGACGGACGGACGGACATGCATAAATCGACTTAGAAAGTGATTCTATGCATATTCTCAAAAGGAACCATGTGTCTATCTCGTTTCCTCTTGCCTGTTACAAACATATGTACAAAGGCATAATACCCTGTACCACAGTGTGGTGAAGGGTATAATAACCTGCAATAGCCCCCACTCAAAACTATATTTTTTATGAACTTTAGAATTACCAGGAAAAAATTAATCATGCCATAACTGAAATACTTGACATATAGCAAATTTGCTCTTCTAGATAAAGGGTCAAGGGCTTTCATCCCTATAAGAAATTTTGCAACCCCCAGACCATGACCTGAATTTTGTGCCACAGCATATGTGGTATAATTTTGGATATTATTGGCAGGGAGATTTTTTCTAATGAGGATCTAAAATACATAATTTCTGTCCAAAATCGTTCAAATTCTTAGAAAGGTATGCAAGATTAGTCTGAACGTTAATCGATGTAGTCCATTTTCAAATCGCACCTGCCTGCATATGAAAGACGTGACTGCGCACAAATTTAATAACAGACTGGTCTAAGTTATCTTAGAATTTTTTCGGATTATTATGTACCATTACTATGTTGACAAACCCTCCATATTTTTCTGAAGATATAAAACAAAAAGTGAACCAAATAGCTTAAAAGGGACCTCCCCATTTTCGATTTTAAAATTTCAAGATTTTCAATGGGCTGGTAAATGAATACCAATGGTTTTTAAGGTTTGAGCATTTGCATATATGGGAAATTACAAAATTCTTTTTAAATTCCATAAAAAAACAATTGAAAAAATTTTTTGCCAGCACATTCATGATTTTTGGTACATAGGTTAAGAAAAATATGCTAATTCGAAAACTGTTCGACTTCATAAATTCGGATGCTGCGCACACAAGTTATAATGGTTTTAAATCTTGTATTTCAAATAAAAATTAAATGAATTCCTATTTGTTGTAATTCGCGAATTTCTTCACAAATGGTTAAACACATTTGTTTTCTTTGCATACTAGTCCAATCACATTGAACTACGGTTTAGTAGTCGCGAAAAAAAAAATAGAAGCATGAAGATATCTGAAAATTAAATAAATTATTTTTTTAATTAAATCGAAATGTTTTTTGAATTTTCGATTTTTTTAGTATGCTTAATGGAAAACGGTTTTGCCCTAATCTTCTAAAATATGTGACAATTTCTTCTACAATTTTTTTAGATGATTGTTAAATATCGATAGATTCATCTGATAACAGTTTCGACTAAATATATTGCACTTACAATACATAAAAATGATCAATATGCAGTTCGCGTATTCGGTGAAATCAGTTGTTGCGCATGCGGTTTTCGTATAAACCGAATCAATCTCTTCCAATAATTATGAATTTTTCGATGTTTCATTTAGCGGCCAAAGTGTGCCGCTCGATGCACTTTAGTATGCAAAAACCGTAAAAATGGCTAAAAATGACGCATCGTGCATTCGATTTTTATGCGCATCAGATTTCAGTGATCTTCTATGAAAATACACAAAAGTATACCAAATCTTAAAAGGATTGGTTAAGAACCGCGGATGTGCCGCTACAATCAATTTTGGATTAAATACGCATATTATTCGCGTATCGATGTATTTTTTGACCTATTTTCACACAGATTCGCGTATATTATAATAAAAACATGACTGTATATAAAAACAATTCGAAGAAAAACGCGGTTATAAACGCGAATTTGTCAAAATAAGTTTTTGAAGTTTTTCCTACCATCAAGGTACCTACATCTGCCGTTTTTTTGGACGGAATTGAACATGAATGGGCTCATTAGATTCGGCACGTAAAAAACTTAAGTCACACGGGGTTCAGCATATTTTTTGGGTGGATGTAGTGATTATATTGAAAGATCATACATTAGAACCATATTATCCATGGGGCATTCTTCAACTTCGTCACTGATCACAAGTGCGTGCGTTGTGCACTTCATTTTATAGAATTTAAATTATATGTAACATGTTAATATTTCGCGAGTTATGAGCTTGCAAACGTCAGTTTCAAGGAAGTTAAAAGAATGCTTCATAATATTTTTTGGAAAATTTTCCGCGGTTTTGTACATTCTTTTCTCAGTTTTTAAACATTCCCTAGACCTCGACGAACATTTCAAGACTAAGAAAAGGTAAATCCGTTCAGCCATTCTCGAGATTTTGCGCGACAAATGTATAGCAATTAATTTTCATATATCTATATACTTAACCAGTAAGGAAAGTAGTAAAGTCGGACGGGGCCGACTATATGATACCCTTCACCACTATGGGTATATTAAACAGGACTATTAACATGAAATTGGATGAAATAATATATGTGATATTTATCTAAATGTGAATCTACCTAGATACAAATATTAATAGGTCATACGTTGGGCCATGTCTGTACTTCTAGAAAACGCAACTACGTAATTCTATGCTCAATTTTGTACGTTGTGCAAAATTTGATGTGAATCTGACTAACATGAGGAGTTTGATGCGAAAATATATATGGAAGCTCCATCCAAATATTAAGCGATTTCAAGCAAAATTGTCAAAGGTTAGGTTGTACTAATTTCAGAACGTTTTGTTCCTATTCGTTCCTTGGTGCGTCAATTACTTAAAATATGTGAGCTATATATGTGCGAGCCGTATAGAAATCTGGACCGATTTTCTCGAAACTTGGCAGACATCACTCTAGGCTCAATTCAGTACGTTATGCCAAATTTCGTTCAAATCGAAGGATATATAGGGACTTTGGTGCACCATTTACATAAAATCGGACGAAACTATATATGGAAGCTATATCTAAATCTGGACCGATTTTCTCGAAACTTGGCAGACATCACTCTAGGCTTAATTCAGTACGTTATGCCAAATTTCGTGCAATTCAAAAGATATATAGGGACTTTGGGGCACCATTTACATGAAATCGAACGAAACTATATATGGGAGCTATATCTAAATCTGGACCGATTTTCACGAAACTTGGCAGACATCATTTTAGACCTAAATGATTAGGCTGTACCAAATTTCGTGCAAATCGAAAGATATATAGGGACCGTTTACATTAAATCGGTTAAATATATATATGGGAGCTATATCTAAATCTGAACCGATTTTTCCCAATTTCAATAGGGTTCGTCCTTGGGCCGAATAGGTGACCTATGCCAAAT